GCCTGTAATCCTAGCACTTTGGGAAGCTGAGGTGAGAGGACTGCCTGAGCCCACAGGTTTGAGACCAGCCTGGGCAACTTGGCAAGACCTCCTCTCTACACTAACAAAAAAACTAGCTGGGCGTGGTGGCACGCACTGGTAGTCCCAGCTACTTAGGAGGCTGAAGCGGAAGGACTGCCTGAGCCCAACAGGTAGAGGCTGCAGAGTGAGACTTCAACTCAGAAAGGGAAAAGAGAAAGATGACTTCAAGGCACCTCCCCTGTGTGGGCCATGCCGGCCACCCTGCTCCCGGGAGGACGTCTTCTGGGACCCATGGGCAGGCTCAGCGGGGTGATACAGTCACGATCGTCTCTGCAGTCACGATTCGGCTCCGTGCTCATTTTTGGGGGGTCCTGACCGACTGCCCATTCCCACGACCCCCCCGGCCTTGTGTGCGTCTGGGGTTTGTCTGGTGCGTGAGCTTCACACGGGCCGTGATGCCGAGGCTGGGCCTGGTTCCCGCGGGGTGGCCAGGTGGGGCCTCCCTGCCCCCGGGGCGCCTGTGGCGATGGGCAGCCTCCAGCCCGTCTCAGCAGAGCCTGGCCCAGGCCTTCCCCACAGGGGGCCTGGCCGCAGCTCCTGCCAGGGTGGCCCCACGGCCCTCACGGCTGCACCCCGGCTGCCGTGCGAGCTGAGCTTCCCTCTCTCGTTCCGGTCCAGAAGACGCGTGCCTTTTTTTCTTGTTGCGCTGTTTTCCTAGTGATGTTTTATCTGTCACTGCCGTTTAGACCCACAGCACCGACTTGCGAGAAGTGAAAAAGTGGCATTTCCTACAAAGTGAACCTCAGACTTGAACGCAGCCGCCCCTGGATGTCTGTGGGGAGCACCGTGCTGTACAGGGCCCGCGCACACGGTCCCAAGTGCGGTAAGTCACGTTGAGGTGGCGTGCCGCACACCTCATCGGAGGCCCACACACCACTTCGTGCAGGCTCAATACAGCCATCGGCACGTGGCAAGTTCGTGTTCTGCTCTTGGGAACACTGTGGGCTTCTTTTCCTAATATTTTTGATCTAAAGTTGGTTCAATCCACGGATTGAACTCCCAGACACAGGGGGGCGCGACTATACACTTTGAGAAGCAAAAATGTCCTACCGGGATAAATCCTGATGAGTTCATCTGGCTCAATCATGCCACCAGAGGTCTTTAAAAACATATTAATAATACGGCATGAAATTAGTCGCGTCATCTGAGAATCTTCCTCCAGGGTGGTCAGAATTTGAGGCATCAAGGTTTCCTGCACCTCCTGTAGCTGCAATTGGCAAACACACAAGATGTGAGTGACAACCGGATGTGCCTTGAGGATAAGGATTCCTGTCTGACCTCCCGCCTGTGAAGACATGGCTCTGGTAAGATACATGAGCTTGGACTGCTACTTTGAAAGCTTTACTGGCTGGACTCGGTGGCTCAGCCTGTCATCCCAGCACTTTGGGAGGCTAAGGCGAATGAATTGCCTGAGCTTGCGAGTTTGAGACCAGCCTGGGCAACCCTCGTCTCTATAAGTATAAAAATTAGCTGGGCGTGGTAGCATGCGCCTGTATTTCCGGCTACATGGAAGGCTGAGGAAGGGTGAGGCGGAAGGATCGCCAGAGCCCAGCGGGTCGAGGCTGCGGTGGCCCTGAGCAACATGCCACTGCACCCCACTCTGGGTGACGGAGTGAGACTCTGACTCAAAAAAAAAAGAAAAGAAAGCTTTACCTGAGAAGACTAGAATCTTCACGTCAACATTTAGATAATCTGAACCATTTCTGTTTCACTGGATCAGCTGATTTTTCAAAAACACCTATGTACAACTCTTCAGCACGTAGGATCCAACTGTTTAAGGACGTTTAACTCAAGGAACAACCACGCGCACCAGGAGGTGGCGCTCACACACCGCGGGTGCTGGGGAAATGGTTCCTGGGGCGTCTGGCCGGTGAGGCGAGTTCTCGCCACAAAGGCATAACGCAACAGCAGAGATGCCCACGTTTGGTGCTGCTTCTGCTGTTTCCTGATCCCCCATGTCAGCTGGAGGCAGCAGTAAGAGCGGCACAGCTCGAGCCGGTGATCACACTCTTCGTCTCATAAAAAGGAGGCCAAATCCTCACACGTCCCCAAGAGTTTCAAGGAAGCCCGCCCCGCAACACGCACCGGTGGGGCCCACCTGGCTCACGGCATCCTCCTGCTCCCTGCTGCTGAGGCCCGGGTGCGCCCTCCCCTGCCGTGGCCTGAGAAGGGCCTTCTGCGGCGCAGCCCTCGCCCTGGAGGCCAACATACCTCCCGTGAGCGCGGGCACTTACCCTGCTGCCCCTGTCCGCGGGCCACCTGGCTGCGTGGAGAACGTACCTGCTCGGTCGACAGGGCCTCGCTGCTGGTGAGGGCCCAGAGGCAGGACACCGTGGCTGTGCGAATGGCTGCTGCCGTCCTCCCCGCGTGCCACTGCAGGTTGGGGAGCAGGATGTCCTTCGTCACCGTCTCGAGGTAGCCAGGAAGCTGCCTGGAGCCAGAGTCAGGAGCAGGTGAGGGGCAGCCAGACCCTCTCGGGGAGGGGGTCAGTGTGGAATAAGCAGGGTTGCGGGGAAGGCCGACGGGAAGCTGGAGCTGAACCCTGAACCCTGAGCACCCCTTCCCTGGGGAGGGGGGCTGCTGAGGGGACAGAGCTGTTCTTCCCAGGGAAGGGGCGGAGTGCCCAGCCTAAGCCGCCAGGGAGAGAAGGTGGCAGGGCCACACCCCTGCGGGTTCCTGCCAGCCTCTCCTGGGGCTGTGGTGGGTCCCGAATCTCCGGAACCCGGGGGGCCTGGGGATGTACTTCAGCCTCTTTCTTGGCCTCCCAGAAGGGCTTCGCCTTCTCCCCTCTGCTCCAAGGAGGCCGGAGCCACGCCCGACCTGCACTGGCAGGAGCACCTGTGGCCCGGCTGGCCCCACCCTGTGTTCCTCCCACCCAGCAGGCCAAGCCCCCGACCACACGGCCCTTCTTCCAGCAAGGACAGTGCTGCAGTTGGCCTCGGTTTCGGAGGCGGGTTGGGGGACATAGGTGGGATCCCGGGTCCTGAGAGAAGGCTCAGAGAGACAAGGACTTCCTGACCAGCTGGGTGCCTTCATTTTGAGAGTAACCAGCTAGCTGGACACGCCATGAAGAGAAGACGAAGCCAAATGAAGCACAATGCACAGCCGGCCATGCTGCCACTCTGCCCGCCTGACTCCGTGTGTGTCAGTCCCCTATCGCAAAACCTGCCACAGACCACAGAGCAAGGCCCCGGCATGTACTGCAGGTTCCACTGCACCTGCAGGTCAGAGTGCATCAGGTGAACAGCCCACCAACGTACATCCCCACAGGACTACAAAGCACATTCCAGAGGGAGCCGGGTCCCCAAGTCCGGCGGGGTTCGAAGCCCACAGCGTTGTCAAGGCTGTACCCCGTCGCCCATGGCCCAGCCTCTTTTTCCCGAAGACACCACTAGTTTACTTCCAGCAGGGGTATCTCGGTGTCAGTGTCAACAGTCCACAGCAAATGTGGACAGTTAACCAGAGCAGGACAACCTGCCCACGTTCAGCCAGGCTTGCAAGGTCAGCTCGCTGTCAAGCAAAGAGCCATCATTTCCTGCAGTGACTTCTGAGAGGACTCTCTGAGGTGCTCGTGTAAAGTGGCCCGGCAGTCGTGGCCTTGAGGGCACAAGGGCGGCTCTCAGGAGAGACGGGCTGCGCTGCACAGGCACTGCTGGCCTCGATCAGAACCCGCCACCTGAACCATTAAAGGGACGGAGAGCAAAAGGCACATCACTTTCTAAAAGTGAGTCTGCAGCAGACGCACACCTGCGCCCAGGATGACGTCCCCTCCAGGAAGACCAAGGTCAGGGCCGCTTGCCCACCAGGCTCCTCTATGGCACAAGCGCCCCTGGGGGCCTTGCTCGGCCAAAGGATAACATCAAGGGGCAGACGTCCTCTCTAAGTCATGCACCTGCGTCACCGCAAGCGTTTTTACTCCGAGGCTGCCAGTGTCTTCCAGCTCTCTCGGAGCCAAGGGCCAGGGCGCCTGCTGCTGTCGCTGTCCTGACTTCACAGGCACCTTGGCCCTGAGGAGCAAGGTGGCCTGACCTGGAGAAAAAAAAACCTGTGCAGAAAACAAAAGCACCCTCGACAGAGCAACCCACAGGAAAGTGGGGCGACTGGAAGAGAGACCCAGGCATGTCAGGTCCACGAGGACGCCTGACAGTGCAACCAGGAGCCCAGAGAATCCAGCAGAGGATTCCCGGTGGCTGATGTTCTGGGTTTGCTGTGTGAGCACCTCCTCACTTATAAGAAACTCAGCTGGGTGCAGCGGCTCGTGCCTGTAATCTCAGCTACTTGGGAGGCTGAGGTGGGAGAATCGCAACATAGTGAGACTGGGTCTCTACAAAAAAAAAAAAATTAGCCAGGCATGGTGGCACCTGGAGTCCCAGCTACTCAGCAGGATCGCTTGAGTCCAGGAGTTGGAGGCTGCAGTGAGCTATGACTGTGTCTCTGTACTCCAGCCCTGGTGACAGAACAAGACCCCATCTCTTTAAACAAACAAACAAAGCAGCCCTCACTCCAAACCTCCCAGCAGTTTCTTTGAAGCTAGTCAGATCATCCCAAAACCCCAATGGCCCAAGGCCCAAAACATGCTGAGCGCTCACCTGAGGCTCAAAGGAAATGCTAACTGGAGCGCTGTGGCTGTCGGGTAACTCAGGTCAGGAATGCTCACCTCAGAGTAAGATGCAAGCATGCCAAGTCCAAGAGAATCTGAGACACTTCTGTCTCTGCATTCCGGCCTGTATGAGGAGGCCCTTTCACAGTCGTGGTGTTCATGGTAGAAGCACCTGGTACCTGAACCTGACCCTCCTCAAGCACCGGACCTCCCAGCCCCTCACAGCAAGGAGCTGCACACAGCGGGCGCTCACAGCTACTGACAGAATGAGAATGTTCTCCACAAGACAATGGTCAGCAGAAGACTCCCTGTCCGGTGTTTCTACTTCAGCAGAGCCCATTCAGCATTTTATGACGCTACCATTTTAAAACCCTAAAAATTAAGACCATCGGACACTTTAAGAAAAATCCTTCCCATCTGTAAAAGTGACTAACTCGCTAAAATAACCGCAACGTAAACACCTTGCTTCCCCAGCACAGCTTCTTTCCACAAGAAGTCTGTAACTGCAGGTTCGTCTGGGCACTCAGCCTGAGTCTGAAAGCCGTGTGGAGTGGGCGGACTGTTCCGGAAGCAGCGTCCCGCCCCTCCCCACAGACGCGTGGCCACCCGAGGCTGCTCCGGGGCAGACCCGGACCAGCTGCCGGGCCGCTGTCCACACGGATGTGGTCTGCGAGTGGGGCGGCTGCCAAGGCTCCCCCTCCTATCTTTCTGCGGACCCCACGGAAGCTCGAAGTGTCTGCAGACGAGCAGGGAACAGCACTTCCTACAGTACGATGGGCTGGCCGGAGGCCCAACGGCAGAGGGATGAGGGCTACAAAGAATGACCAGCTTCTTTCCACGCTGGACTTTAGCTTTCAACCCACGCCACGTTGGCGGAAGACCGGAGCCTTGGAGGGGCAGGTCCTGGCACTGCTAGAGTCCAGACAGGTGGCAGTGCCACCATCTCGCCAGAATCAGTCACGCAGGCCCCACCTCCCGCGGGGACCCATCTGGGTGTGACCAGGCGACTCTGCACCTTGTGGTAATCTCACAGAGGCAAACAGGACGGCCTGAAGAGCAGTCGAGAGGCAGACACCTGGGCAGGCCTCTTCCTCCCAGCAGTTCTAGACTCCTCTGGACTCTGCAAACCCACCCAGGAGAACCAGCTGGCTGCTCCGGCTGCACCAGGGTCCAGGCTGCGGCCTCGCCTCCCGCCCTTGCTCCTCTTTCCCTCTGCCTCGTTCCTCTACGTCAAAGCCGGCATGCTCAAGGTCCTGCACGTTCTAATGCTATCTGGATGTTCTTGTAGATAACAGACGAGTGTCTCTAAGAACTTAACCATCCGCAGTAATTCAGTCAATTCTTTGTTAGGTTTGAAAGGCACCAAAGTTCTTTTAAAACTGAGAACAGCTAATATATAAGCCATTAATAGCTAATGTTCCCTAAAACTTTTCACTCAACGGAACCCCAACGACCACACTCAAGTGGCTCTGACTGAGTGTTTCCCTGCGCCGCGCATTCCCGGGACCTTGCTGCTCACCCGGCAAGGGCAGATGCTGTGGGACCCAGGCTGCCCCGAAGCTCAGGGGTCGCCTCGTGCCTCTGCCTCAGACCTCAGCGTGAGGGGAAGTGGGGACGCTCGGCTGAGCACAGTGCTGGGTGACAGGAGGGCACTCCTGGCCCAGCACAGTGTGGGGAGGGTAGAGGTGGGAGCCTCCGGCCCAGCCCGGGGGGGGAGTAAGGGGCAGAACCACGGCCGGGCGGTGTGGGGGGCGGACGGAGGCACGGACAGACCTGGAAACCAACCTACCCTTGGGAGTCAACAGTGTCCTTGGCTCTGAGCAGCACCTTCGACAGGACGGAAAAGAGCTTCAGGCGCATCTGCGGGTCTCGCGCGGGCTGGAGACAGGCTCTGAGCATGGGCACCACGTGTGGCAGCACTTCTCCCAGCACGGGGCCTGTGGGACAAGGGCACGGGTGCTCCAGTATGCGCGGCCTCCCACGGCCGCCCCAAGCCCAGCAGCAGCCCTGCCCCTGGCGTGTTCGCTTGGGTCCTGTCCCCTTCCCATCGTACCCCTCCCCACCTGGACCATGGAGGGGACTGCCAAAGGAGAGAAGCAGAACAATTTAACTCCCGAAATTACACGTATCGTTCAATATGTAAGCTTTCTATGTCTTCTATATTCCTCCAGATTCTTGTAAAAAATCCAAGTCAAAAAGTATTTTAAAGATCAACCAGAAGGCTGCGCTCGGTGGCTCAGCCTGTAATCCCGGCACTTTGGGAGCCCACAAGGTCGAGACCAGCCCAGGAAATTTGGCACGACCTCGTCTCTACAATAAATAAAAAACTAGCCAGGTGTTGTAGCACAGGCCTGTAGTTCCGGCTTCTTGGAAGGCTGAGGCAGAAGGATCGCCAAAGCCCAGCAGGTTGACGCCGGGGTGGCCATGAGTGTGGCACTTCACTCCAGCCTGGGTGATAGAGTTAGACTCCAACTCAAAAAAAAAAAGATCAACCAGAATCAATTACTCAAATTAAGTGCATTGTTTAACACTTGCCAACGCTTTGCAGCCATCACCCCTTTCGTGCCTATGACTAGATGAAGAAATGGATGGATTCTTCCCATGCTACAGGGACTTCAGACAAGGCTATGAGATTGAGCTCTGGAACTCACTGCACTGTGACAGGAACACAGCAGTCTCTGGCATCCAGCAGTAACTGTGGTTCACAGGAGCCCAGCCACAAAACAGTGGCCCTGCTTCTCCTGGTGTCCACAACAGAATGGCATATTTTAGAGTAGCTGAACCCTCAAACCCTTCTGCTCTAGAACACATTTGCCGATTGTGGGATAAGTTAGACCAGGCCAAGCAATTCTAGCCTTTGCTCTTGATGACACAGAGGCTCAGACTCTAGAGTGTCAAATGGCTGTGAGGCAGTGAGGCCCAGGAGGGAGGACCCCACTGCACGGAGCTGCATGTGGGCCTAGGGGAGGGAAAGAAAACAGGAGCCACCACCGAGATGATGTGACAAAGCACCGCTGCACTGATGGGCATCCCGCCAGCACAGACGTGAGTGCCAAGGGCTTGTTCAGGCCCTCTGTCCACATCGCCACGTCTGGTAATGTCTCAACTTCAGAAGAGGGCATTCAGGATCAAGCGTCAGTCTCCCAAGACTGTAGAGTTTTGTTCACAAAGAAAACATAAAATGTAAACGTGAGGGAGGAGTGAATCTCGAGGGACATCTTACTGTCCCCTCCTGCAAAGAACCATTGTAACTTGAGCACTCTGCCAGTCATTCTTTGCAAACTGCATAAATCATTTTGAATAATTAAACTCTGCATCAGACAAATGCTCCCTAATAAAAAGAAAAGAGAAGACAGGCACGGTCCTCATGCCTATAATATCAGTACTTTGGGAGGCTGAGGCAGGAGGATAGCTTGTGGCCAGGAGTTTGAGACTGCAATGAGCTATGACTGTCACTGCACTCCAGCCTTGGTGACGGAGCAAGACCCTGTCTCTAAAACAAGCAAAAGATAAACATTTTTAAAAGGAGAAAGAAGTCCTCAAAAATATAGGGCATTTGTCATTACTTACAGCATAGACAGACAGGTGAATTTAAGTCCTCAGTAAGGTGCACACCACACTGAGTGTTAAAATCAGCCTTTGGGACAAACACACCACAACTGTCATGGGCAGGTGCCGAGATGGGGTATCCATGAGGCACAGGGAGCTCTCCATCCCCTTCCAGAAGACACTTTCAGGAAATTAAAAAGACTACATGCAAAACCATGCGCCGGAATCTCTCAAAGTGGCTTGTTCCCTTCAAGTGGTTTAATCCTCACCAAAGTGTGGTTTGTCCGTGTGGAAGGAGTCAGAGAACAGGGGGTTCCAATGCCCCAAGCTCCGTCTTCTCCATCAGTTACCTGGAACGTGGTTGTAGCACTGCCACACGCTGGAATGCAATTCCTGCAACCTGGGAGCAGCCTGCCAAGCTGGGTGGGACACAGACAGGCCCTGGGTCTTGAGCAACACTGCCGATTTTAAAAACCGCTTTTTAAGACGAGACCCATCTGTAAGATACTTTCTGCAGACATGAAAGTTCAGGCGAGACACAAGGCTGGAGGCCCATGTGCCCAGTGGTGTGTGGTGCCTGTACTGCTGGAATCTGTCAAGCTTTGGGCTGAGGGACCTGGAAAAACTTCTGGACCCTTCTGGGGTGGAATCCAGACAAACTGCTGGGCCCTTCTGGCTGTGGGACCGGGACAAACTCCTGGACCCTTGGGTCCCGTGTTCTAGTCTTGCAGCACATGCAAACATTTGCCCAGGCAGGCTCCTTATCCCAATAACAGACCCTGAAGTAGGTGCTGTTCCCACTGCAGGAAAGGACGGGCAGGAACCGGCGAGGGCGGAACCTGCATCGCACTTGCCACCCTCTCGGTGCATCTCCGGGACCTGAGACACACGCCCGCCACGCGTCACGTGCACGCTCCCTGCCGGACATCACCGAGGCTCAGGGCATTCATGGGGACGTGGCCCAGAGGGAAGGCCCCGATGCCAAGCTCACTCTCTGACGGCCCACGCAGACCCGAGCCCAGAGAGCTGGAACAGCACGGGGCACAGGTGCGACGGGGCCCCCCAACACGGGTGCCACCTGTCCTGAGCCGTCTGCTGGGCCCCGAGTCCCTCAGCCCACCCGGCTGCCTCACTTGCCTTCGCCGCAGGGGAACACTGCTGCCAGCTCGAGTGCGGGGTCAGGTCTGAGTGGCCAGGGGTCCCGCCCACGAGTCCCCACAGCCTGCTCTGAGCTGCTGTCTGCAGGGGTCCCTCCCGTGCCACGCACCTGGGCCCCGGCAGGATGTGTCACGGCAAAGTCGTTCAGACACATGACCTGAGGCGCTGCACGGCAGGACATCTCGGCAGGTCATCTGGGATTAAACGCCTTTCCTGCTGTGAGGGCCACACTGCAGCTGACCTGTTTCTGCTTTTGTGACTCTCTGCATCTCAATACACTGGAAACAGGACACATTTTCTGGCCCAAATACAGAAAGGAGCCCCCTGTCTCCAAGTCCACCTCCAGTGCCGGGGATGGAGAGAAAGGGGTGCACCGACAGCCTCTTCCTAGGGCCTGGGATGTGTCCGAAGTGGGTCCCTTGGAAAGTTGCAAAACCCCAAACCAAAACTAACACTGAATCCAGTCATGGGCCTGCCTGGCACGGATTTTCTTGTCCCTGGCACACGATGCCTACATGCCCAGGTCTCTCTCTCTTTTTTGAGTTGAAGTCACATTCTGCCACCCAGGCTGGAGTGCAGTGGCATGATCATGGCCACCGCAGCCTCAACCTGCTGGCCTCAGGTGATCCTTCCACCTCAGCCTTTCAAGTAGCTGGGACTACAGGCGTGCGCCACCACATTCAGCTATTTTTCAATTTCTTTTAGAGGCGAGGTCTCGTTATATTGCCCAGGCTGGTCTCAAAGTCCTGGGTTCAAGTGATAACGCCTGTCTTGGCCTCTCAAGGTGCTGGTATGACAGGTGTGAGCCACCAGGCCCAGCCCCAGCCCCAGGTCTCCTTTTCCTTCACACCATACTATGTATCTTTTCATGTTGCTCCCAAGGCTGGATAAGTGTTTTTTGTGGCTGCTGGGACACTTCTTCTCTGAGATGGCATTATCTGCTTAACTGCTAGCTGGGTATTGGGTCACTTCCAAATTTTGCTATTCGGTGAAGTTCTGCTGGGTACACAGCTTTGTCCACAATTAGGGTGATATCCTTAGGATAATTTCTCACGAACTTGATCACGGGATAAAAGGGAGTAAATATACTGGCAGTTGTACATGGTATTCCCAGCTGCCAGGCACCTAGCTCCACACCTTGAGGGGCAGCTTTTTTATTTGTGGCCTAATTTGATAAAAGAAAACGTGGTGCCTCATGAGTTCTATCTCATATTTCCTTCTTTTTAGAGGGGCTGGGTTTTTCCCACTCTATTTATTAGTTGCATTAGCTCTTATAATCTAGATATTTTGCCTATTTTGCCTATTTGCCTATAATGCTTTTATCCTCATTTTGTGGGAGCGTTATATAACAAAGCTCTTATACTGTCATATTTATTGTAACTACTTATGTCTATGTTCCTTTTATTTTGGTTCAAATGTATTACAGTCAAATCTATTTCCTTCATTTGTGGTTCTCCCTCAATCTTCTCAAAGTTTAGGAAGTTACCCCTTTCTGTCTGTTTAAGATAATTAAATTAAAAAATTAGGCTGGGCTCAGTGGCTCAGCCTGTAATCCCAGCACTTTGGGAGGCCAACGTGAGTGGATTGCCAGAGCCTGCAGGTTCGAGACCCGCCCAGGCAACTTGGCGAGACTTCGTCTCTCAATAAATAAAAAATTAGCTGGGCATGGTAGCGTGCGCCTGTAGTTCCGGCTACTTGGAAGGCTGAGGCGGGAGGACCACCAGAGCCCAGCAGGTCAAGGCTGCAGTGGCTGGGTGGCTGGGAGCGTGCCACTGCTCTCCAGTCTGGGAGACAGAGTGAGACTCCAACTCAAAAAAAAAAAAAAATTAATCTTCCTGCAGAACTACTGCAAATGAATAATTTAAAAATTTCTCATAGTTAAAAAAATTATTTCAAATTTTTTTTTAGAGATAGGATCTTACTCTGTAACCCAGAGTAGCTAGACTTAACCTCCTGTCTCTGCCTCCCGAGTAGCTGGGACTACAGGTGCACACAAGATTGGGTGGATTGATGGATAGAAGGATTTACTGACTTACTAAATTTTTTTTGTTAGAGATGGAGTCTCACTTTGTTGCCCAGGCTGGTCTCAAACTCCTGGCTCAAGCAATCCTCCCACCTCGGCCTCCCAAAACTCTGGAATTACAGGGGTGAGCCACCACATCTGGATGTTTTTGTTCCCTAAGACACTCATTTCTCCACAGGCAAGAGTGACTATTGGTCACTTTGAAAAACATGCCTCAGTTAAAAATAGTTCAGTTAGTTGAATCTGGCTCCCGCTGAACACCTCACATGGTCTGTGAGAAGACAGCATGCTGAAGGGCTCACCTGAGTGAGTGATGAGGACGATGAACTGCAGGAGCTCCGGGGAGCACACGGTCCAGTCGTGGTGTGTCACGGCCAGCTGCTCCAGGAGGCGGCCCATGTGCTTGCGGTAGAGGTCCTGGCGGCTGCTGGCGCTTTCCACTGTGGCCAGCGCATCCATCACCTCCTGAGCCTGGAGGTTACAAGGCAGAGGCTAACATGGTTCTCATTTCTAGGGCTCAGAACTCCCCGCCGGGGGCTCACCTTCACCCCTGCAGGTGAGAACACGCGGGCCAGGAGGGCACCACTGTGAGGAAACCCTGCCACCAGCTTGCTGGGAAGCCAGGGCTGTGGGCAGAGGCCTCCATTCTCATCTGCGCCATGCCGCATGTGCAGCCACAACGAACCGGCAACATGCATGCGCCACACGACACGGTGCCGTGGGCCCAGACTTATGCCAATCCCCAGGATGGTCCGCTGGAAGGAGCAGGGCTACTCTAGGAGGCGCCCTGAGGCTGGTGTCAGCAGGGCCCAGCCTGCGGACCGAGGGGCTGAGCAGGTGTAAAGATCACCTGAGCAGACAGGCTACATTCACCAAGGACCGCCTGCTGCCTCTGCTCAGACCAGACCCCCAGGCGGGAAAGAGTCCAGTGCTGCTCTGGAGGGACCAAAGGGCACGAGGTGATTCAGCAATGAAGCTGGCCAGGTGTGGGGTAGGCGCCTGGAGTACCAGCTGCTCAAGAGGCAGAGGTGGGAAGAGGGCTGAGCCCAGAAGTTGGAGGATGCAGCGAACCATGATCAGGTCATGGCACTCCAGCCTGAGAAACAGAGTGAGGCCTGGTCTTTGAAAACAACAAGCAAAACGAATAAAGCTGCCCCGTCACCATTTAGCCTGTGCCTTTCCCCTGGGGTTTGGGAACAGGAGGACGTGCTGAGCCTCCCCGGGCAGCTGCCTGTGGCCTGGGGTCTGTGTTGCAGATCACAGGCAACCTGAAAGTTGCTGAGCTTTCTTCCTGTCACCAGGGTCCTGCCTCTGCTCGTAGTGATGGCCCTGTTGGTGACAAACTGCCTAAGATATATGCCCTTTGGAAAGGCTGTTTTTAAAGAGAAATAAAACGCAGCTTAAAGAGGCCCCACAAAGGGAGAGGCATGGGCGGTTCCTGTGCAGAGTTCAGTCTATACGTCTTTTCAGGAGGCCCATGGCGGCCCAGAGAAGCAGAACTGGAAGGAAATCCAGTTCTCAGCCTCACCTGGAGGTGATTCTCAGAATCCACAGGGAACTGGGGGTTAGAAGGTTTTCAAGCATAAATATAGAGCCCATGGAATAGAAACAATTTTGTAAGGCTGGGACACAGTTAAAGTAGGAAAATCAGGATACTGTTTTCTTCCCAGACTCTGTCGCACAAACGTGTTTTAGAGCCCACTAAGATGCACCGTGTAAGGTTATGGTGGTCTTGTTTCCTGTGTGTTTCTTTGCCAGGGACTCTAAGATTAACAGCTGTCTCCACTCTTACATGCTGACAGACACTGGCGGTTGGAGGGGACAGCCCCAAGGGCCACCTGGTGGACGGCTCCCCACTGGTTCTAAACCCTGCCATCTTTGTGGTTGGTTGGTCAGGCTTGCCTGAGGCCTGATGTTCAAGCACAGAGGAGACGTGTGGAGACAGCTGCACTCCTGTCAGAGAGAGACTGCATTTATAGAGAGATCGTGTCCAGCTATGAGCTCTGCCAGGTTGTGCCACACAGTGGGACCGCCATCAACCTTACCTTGTCCTCAAGGTTACTGGCACCTGAGATGGCCACTATCGTCACCAGAACCTCCATGAGCTGGAGGCCGGCCCCACCGCAGTCCTCTTGACACGTGGACACCAGAGCCTGTACACACAGCAGCAGGCGCTCCAGGTAGAGGTCCTGCAAGAGACAAGGCTGTCAGGGCCCCACCCGGTCCGGCACCCCTGGCCTGTGGCTTCGAAGCCGGCAGTGGACGGGAGGGTTTCTGCAGCTGGATCCCATGGGTACTGGCCATGGGTTAGAGCACAGCAACCATAAAAAGGGCATGTGTGAGACGACAGGGGAACTGGACTCAGACTGGGAATTAAGGAATTCATGCTTTTCTGTAAAATGCCAAATGGTTTAGTTAGGTTTTTAAAACGTTCTTGTGAGTTGGCGACACATACTGAGATAATTACAAGCAAAATTACGGTACTCCTTGGACTTGCTTAGTTCTCCCCACTCTCCCAAAGTTAAAAAAAAAGTGGTACAAGGTAGATAAAACAAGAATGCAAAGGGGTCAGTCACTACTGAAGTCACAGGACAGATGCAAGGAAGTTCATTCTGCAATCTTCCCATTTGTGTACATTTTTGAATACGAATTTTTAACAAAAATAAAGCTCTAGGGTTCACAAACACTTCCTGACTGACAGGTGATATCGCAGCCATGTACCAAAGGCCTAGGAGTCAAACTGCTTCCCTCCCCACTGTAGCCTTGCTCATGGCACACCAGGTGAGACCCACAACTGGCAGAGGGGATGCAGGAACCTGAGACTTCTGTTCACATTCACTTCTTATAATGTTGCTCTAACATCTCTATTTCATGTATGTTTCATAAAGTACAGAATAAACCAGGAGAGTAATCATGCAGTTTAAGAACACGATTACAAATAAACAAGTGTATGTATATCGTAGAGATATGCTTAAACTTTTTTACTAATTATTTGCCTAGAAAACAGTTTGGGTCCAAATTTCCGAATCAGTCCTAAGATCCTGGGACTCATCTACCAGTGACAGAAATCCCCAAAGTTTAAGCGAAAGCTTCACACTGCATCCTAGCTGCGCAGTCCACGCACCCTCAGGTCGCCCACCCGCAGCAGATGACACAGAACTGTGGACGGCGTCAGCCTTGGAGGGCGGGCAGGATGGCCCTGCCCCACCCCGGGAGGTCGGGCTGTGAGCAGTGGGTGCCCCAACTCCCAGGAAAAGCCACAGATTTATGTTTTTATTCCAATCTATACTTTTTACACAGCCCAGTTTCTTTGAGGCCTGGACTGATTTCTGAGGACATGATCCTGGCTAATTTCTAGACTGGTCGGAAATGTAAATTTAAGAAGCTATGATTTTTTCAACTAAAATCAAAAGAAGTGCATCTTTAGAAGACACGGCCACTCCCAGCTTTCCTAAGCTATCACACTGACGCTGGAGCTCGTGAGGGTGACACCCTCCTGGTATGGATACGGCAATATCTCTGAGGGTATAACAAGACTTAATGTCTACAGATTTCTCTATTTGTAGCCAGGGAATTTTCAGTGTCTGCCTACACACACACTGAATGAAAAAGGGAACGAGACATGACAGGAAATAACCTCAGTATTTTCTGCTTCTGAAGTAACAGGATTCAAGATCACACAAACTCAGAAATCAACACGCAAGATCACAAGCGGGAGTCACTGAAGTGCCGGCGAGGTCTCCCTCAGCAATGCCAGTGACATCCCTGAACCGCTTTCCTTTGGTCAACAGCAATCAGTGAGTTATCCTTATCCTCATCCTGATCCTACCACACAGCTTCCTCCCTTCAGTCACCTGCCACTAAACACATTTCCACGAGAGGCCCCAGCTTCCTCCAGCTGAGCTCCAGGTACACAGCCGGCCTGAGACTCCTGGGGAAGACCCTAACCCTACAAAGCCAGACTCCCTGCCAACCCCAGGGGTGGGCTCAAGTCAGAGCTGCAGCTGAGAGTACATCTTCACGGACTTGTTCTGTTTAGCACAGGATTTTTTAAATTTCAGTTTGTTCTTGAAAGACACTCTTAACCTTTTCTTATAGCTACTTAGGAATAACTGCAGGAAACAGAACCTGCTTCCCAAATACCTCACCAAGTGTGTGAGCTGCCCTGACGTGGAAAAGAACACGGATGCGTCAGAAATGCATTTGGGAAGAGTTGAACGGTGGCTGGGACCCACTGTGGTCCCTGGTGCAACCTTGGCTCCACCTCCCTCTCTCGGCGAACTTTAGCAACTGCCTCACGGGTTCTTAAGATGGTTTATGAACATGATTGTGACTTGCCACTTCCTCGTTTTGGGGACAGAGAATGGGCCGTGACACAGGACAGGAACAAGCTGACAGCAAAGCTGCTGGTCTCGGCCCCTCTCGCTCAGCTATGTGGCTGAAAACCTCCAAGCCTGTGCTGGCATCCTGGGGCAAACCAAGGTCTGCACTGCACAGGACAGCCAGGCAACGGCGGCAGGCCCTTGTGTTCTAGAACCACAGAGTCCAGTGCATACGCTGATCAGAGTTAAGCCTATCACATCCAAACAAAAACTAAGTCTTATGTTTTCTTCCATAGAAAACAAGTATAATCATTGCAAATGATTAAGTCCAACCACCCAAGTTGTTTCAGCTCCAGGTGTAATGGATTTACTGCTCAATTTAAAATGCAGCAAACAACCTGGGCGAGTCATCAAGCAGGCTGCAGTAACGTCAGTGGCCCGAACCAGTGTGCTGTCCAAACCAACTTGACACGGATGGGCAGATGGGTGACCTCATCTCTCCGGAACGGGCAGATGTGGACCCTCAGAGCTGTGTTGCTGGCCTGTGTCCACCCTAGAGGCACAAGCCAAGAGAAACTTCCTGGTACGGATGTGTTCTGAGCTGTTCACCAACACTCACTGTGGCTAGTGTAGCCAGAAAAGGGGCATTTTAATCAACCTAGGTGTGAAAGGCTGTCTGCAGCTGGTTGCTACAGGACCGCACAGAGCAGCACAGGGGCCCTGAATGGGGTGTGGTGTGAGCACACTGGCCACACTGGATGTTTCTGGCAGACCTGGCATGGAGCGGACGGACCGCCATGGTCAGAACTATGGCAGGGGAGATGCCTGTTCTCCACTTCCTGTCCCCTCCTGTGTGCTTACATGTTCAGATGCCTGGCAGATGTGGGCTTGTGCTAGTTCTGTGGCGATGACCTTCAGGTGAGGCTGCAGGGCTTCTCGGGGGCAGCCTCGAATGGCAGATGCAAGCACCAGGAGGCCAGAGGGGGAGGGCGCCTTCCTAAGCATTGGTAAGATCAGCTTCAGAAACACCTCGGGGTTGACAAACGTCCCAATGAGCTCTGCAGACCTCGTGCACTGCAAGAGAAAAACAGGGAAAACTGTGAGGTTGAAAACACAGACCCGCCAACTCCATGACTGACAAAGGCCTAACATCTTGGATCTACAAGGAACTCAAAGTGCTGAAAGGAAAAAAACAAACAACACCATTACAAAGTGGGCAAAAGATATGAACAGACACTTCACAAAAGAAGACATCCGAGCAGCCAGCAGACACATGAAGAAATGGTCAACCTCACTAATCATCAGGGAGATGCAAATTAAAACCACACCGAGATATCACCTAACTCCAGTCAGAATGGCCATCATCAATAACTCAAAAAATAACAGATGCTGGAGAGGATGTGGTGAAAGGGAACACTTATACACTGCTGGTGGGAGTGTAAACTAGTGCAGTCTCTGTGGAAAGCAGTGTGGTGATTCCTAAAAGTTCTAAATATCGACCTCCCATATGACCCCGCAATCTCCCTGCTGGGAATATACCCTGAAGAACTCAAATCACTCTATAAAAAAGATACTTGCACAGTATGTTTATCGCAGCATTGTTCACAATAGCAAGAACCTGGAACCAACCATGCTATCCATCAAAAGAGGACTGGATTAAAAAAATGTGGCACACATACACGATGGAATACTACACAGCCATAAAAAAGAACAAAATCATGAATTTCACAGCAACCTGGATGGAACTAGAGTCTATAATACTGAGTGATCTTTCACAGCAACAAAGATCTTAGTATCACATGTTCTCACTCGTAAGTGGACCCTGAACACCTATCGTAATACTACAAGAAAAGGATTGACAGTGGTGGGAATCTATGGGCGGGGGAAGACAGGGAGGGCACGGGTGATGGGATTAATGGTAGTCAATATCTGTCTGGGATTATCAACAAGGGTGCCTGAATGATGCATGTTTGTATACCTAACCCTTAACTGTACCCCACAATTTTAAAATAAAAATTATGTCTAAAAAATAAATAAATAAAATAAAAGCTAAAAAAAAAGAAAACACAGACCCACTAGCCAGGCCCCTGGGGCATCTCCAGGGCCTTCTGCCCACCAAGTCCTACATGAGAACACGTGTTTGTGCATGTGTTCAGAACACCTCTGAAAGGCACACCATCCTCTCGTGGTCTCGCCACGGCCACGAAATGGTTTGAGCAGGTATACGCCTCTCGAGGCAGCAAGGGTCTGCCCTGCAGGAAGGCTGCGTCCTAGCAGCAGTCTCCACTGCGTGCCCCATCTGAGGCCAAGGATCTCCCCACACGAATATGTGGATAAACCCATACAGGCACCTCCGCACCGTGGAGTTCCACCAGCCGTAAAAAGAAATTGCACCAACATCGACACAGGCAGCAACCTAGGTGGATCTCAGGGCATGACGACGAGTGACCAACACCAATCCCAGAAGACCACACACTGCATGACTATAAGACACTCTCAAACAACACGTTACAGGGAGGAAGAACGGATGGTGGCCACCAGGAGCGACGTGACCAGCAGGGCCGCCCACGGGGCTCTGGTGCTGGTGGGCAGTCCTGTGCCTGGATCCCTGGCGGCCACAAGACCTGCACAGGTGGTCGGAGGCAGGAACCACACCACGGCCCAGGGACACAGCCTGGCCTGACTGCTTTTCTAGCATGGAAGGCAGGGCCCCTGGGGGACAGTGCGGGAGGGGCATAGGGACCGCCTGTGCTATTTGTCCAACTTCTGGGAATCTATAACGATTTCAAAACAGAAAGTTAAAAAAAAAAACTAACTGAAAACAATACAATACAAAAAATCAAAACTCCGCCTGCTACCTCCTGGCCCCTCCCACCCAACTCCTATTTGCTGGAGTCTTAAATGCAGCTCAAGAGCATGAGGACAGGCCCTGAGCCAGTTCAGGCGGTTCCACGGCACTGCCACTGAGGTTTAGTTCCCTCATTCTCTCTCCCCCTCTCTCTCTCGGTCCATCTCTGTCTGTCTCGTCCCTGTCACCCCATGCCGACTCCCTCCTGGCTCGGTGCCAACAGCACTGTTTGGTGTGGGAGGTGGAGGGTGGGAACACCACGTACTCCCGAGAACAGGGCTCTTTGGCTGGGAGTTCTCAGAATTCAGGAGGCCACACAGCCCTCCACAGGTGAGGGGAAGGCAGGCGCTCTCAGGGACGAGGACAAAGCAGGACATGTGTCGCCAAGGCTGGCGTGGGAAGCCTAAACCACGTCCCGCCTCCTGCACAGAGCTGGGGCGTGGGGGAAGCTCGGCGACCACAGGAAGACCCAGTTGAGGCGCCACCAGACACCAAAGCAGCCTTGCTTGGACCCCAGTGTGAACAAGTCTGCCACAGACAGATACTTCTGAAGCCTCAGGGAACTGGAATAAGGACGGGTGTCAGACTTGAGGGCATCACAGACTGCGTATGTGGGCTGTGGCTCTGTGTGTGTATTAGAAAGGAAAGTCCTTCAACACCAGGACAGAGCCAGCCACAGGCTGCAATCTGCTTCGATTGCTCCCCGGGACCAGGGGCAAGGTGGGCAGAATCGTGACAGCAGGTAGGGCTGGACATTGCCTGGGGTCACCGCAGCATTCGCCCTCTTTTTGTGTGCTTAGAGATTTCCATGCAAAAGGTAAAAACCACAGCATTAAGATCAAAGTCCCACAAAAAGTAAAAACCACAGCACAGAAGTCACAACACAATCTTCCCAGCCTGCTACCCACACGAGGCCCGAGCAGCCCCCACAGGGCTTGCACAGAGACCACCCTCCTCCGCTGGGGTCCTCTCAGTTGCTGAGGCTCTGTCCCCTCACCTATGAGTTCTCACAACCGTCCTGGGTGCACCGGCTGCCCGCTGCCCCAGAGCTGGGAAGCCTGTGCCTGGTGGTGTTGGAATGAGCCTGTGCTGCGTTCCCCAGTGTCCTGCAGACCCGAGGCCTACACGACGCCCCGCAGACCACGTGCCCCGAGGCTGGCAGTGCGTGAAAACCTGCAGTCTTGCAGGAAAGAAAGCTGAACTCTGTTTAAATGCATGCTTCCCACACTTACGTGGCCAGCCCCCTTCTTCCAGGAACCCACTAGGAACACGCCGCCAAGGAGGGGACTGGGACAGTAGGTACGGCAGCCGCTGGGACTGTGCTGAGATCTGCAGTACCCTGGGACAGCGGCTTTATTGTTTTGTAAAGAAACAAATCCTTTTGAAAATTCAACTAGAATTAAAACCACGGTCAAACCACAGAAAATCTAAAGCCCACTGAAATGTTAATTCGGCTAACTGATGCCCTCAGGCCCCCACGGACCCATGTCAGGATTTTAACCAGGTCCACACAAAACGCGTCTCCCGTGGATCCACATTCTGCTTCCTCTCTAAAAATAAGTCCATGTGGCTAGAAGCCTTTTAAATCTCCACTAAACATAGTCAATGTAATGGAATGTCTGTTGCTTGGCACCACCTAGTCTTCTTGCTCTTTGTAAAAGTTGATGGGGAACCATAAAATAAAGTCACTTTTTTTGTAGGGAAAATAGAAGTTCAAGAGCTTCGTATGGAAAGATACGGTTTACAAAAAAATGTCCACAATGTCTGGCTGCTTTAGTGATAAACCTGATATCCAAAAACTAAAGCTAGATTGCATTTACCAACTTAAAACTGATGGTAGTTTTTGAAAAGTAAAAACACATGACCTGTAAATATCAGACTGAATATGGTTTGTTCTTAAAAGGTGGAACCTAGCTGGGCTTGGTGGCTCAGCCTGTAATCCCGCGCCTTTGGGAGGCTGAGGTGAGTGGATTGCCTGAGCCCGTGGGTTCGAGACCCGCCTGGGCAACTTAGCGAGACCTCATCTCGACAATAAATAAAGAAATTAGCTGGGTGTGGTAGTGCGCGCCTGTAGTTCCAGCTACTCGGAAGGCTGAGGCAGAAGGATCGCCAGAGCCCAGCAGGTCGAGGCTGCGGTGGCCGGGAGCGGCCACTGCACTCCAATCTGAGCGACCGAGTGAGACTCCAACTCAAAAAAAAAAAAAAAAAAAAAGGGAACC